ATTCAGCTTCGCTCCGCCTTGCGAAATCTCTATCGGAAGGCCCGAGGCGCACGACTGCGAGCTACTTTGGGATTCTCAGCAGTGCCGCCCCCACAAGCAGCACACTTGAGAATAGAAATTGATGAGATGAGCGATGACGAATCTGTTGAGTATCCTAACAGTGAAGTTCCACTGGAGAACAGCCGAGCATTCAGCACTGATGGAGGTGTAGACGGCGGTGCGGGAACGACTTTCCTGTCAGAGAGTTCACCTTATATCATAGATTATGGCTATACATCTCCTCGGACTGTTGAGGTGAGTTCGGTCTTGGAGTGCCGCGGTATTGATTTCTCGCAGGATACGAGTATTGACATGTCTGAGGTTTCTGATGATCTTGGTGATGAAGGAGGTCTAATCCAGCCGGTATACTCGAGAGAATTGCATGCCTCTCAAAGTATGCGTATTGGAAAGAAGATTCACCCATGAGATGTCACTAATTCGTATTGAGTTTCCTTTCGAACACGGAGAGTTCAGTTCCCCATCAACCATCGAAAAGTGCGCATGGGAGTGGAGAGATACACCGGACTCGCACATCCCCCCCCCCTTCGAGCGAAATTACTGCAATTTGGAAAATTACGAGCTATGAACGTGCCTCTTGACTGACTCGCATATCGTGCCCATATATGGTTGTAGGGACGTTTTGCTTCCACCTTATTCCTTTTAGCCTTCCTACAGGGGAGGCTGATAGCGGCTATCCCATAGAGGCGTTGGCAGCCGAGCTACTAATGCTACCAGCTCATTGTGTTCAGTAGCCTTCGGCCCTGCTAAGCGCGATCTCATCCAACTTTATGGTAGAAGGACACCACTCAACTGAGTAACTGAAAGTTAATCTGCTCTACACCTAGTGAGTTTGTCACAACATTGTTGTGTTTGCTACGCTAGTCGGAACGGTTCCGGAATCCTACGTTCCATGAGAGAGAATCAAACGATTTCTTGGCGGAGAAATGGCCCGGCTGGGGGTCAGCCCATCATCCCCGATGAGAGGGAAATTGCGTGACCAAGCTGAGTAACCGTCAGGCGAATGCTAAATAACCAGGTGTGTTGATGAGAGTGAGTACAGCAATGATAAAACTGCAGACTCCAAGGACTGCTGTAGGGATGTGTCGCATCCTAGCACTACGACTTGTTTTTCTCCTCTTGTTACTTTTGATACTGGGGGACTAGAGTTGAGACACTTGACTCTATGACTAGTGCTCGGGTAGCTTATTCACATCAGTTCGCTGACTCATCCTCATGACTTTCGGGCTTCAGGTTTGAGGTTTGGTCAATACCTCTCCCATTCCCAGCGTCTGTGGGATTTCTACAGTTTGGTTGAATAATCGCGCATCGCCATTCGCTAGGGATGTATCTCGTTTACTCTGTTTGTGTGTTGTTCCAGAAGTTTCGTAAATACGAGACGTCCTCGAGTGAACAGCGTTAACTAACATACATCTACAACCACATGTAGATGTACTTTTCATAAGTTCGAATTCGGTTCATTAGTCTGTTCAATACAGACCCCATGCTCTCAATGTCAGCTTGTTAACTCAACTTGCCCAAAACGTCGCGGATGGGAATTCACATTACGTAACATTCTTAGCAAATGCCAATGGGAGAGATGACGGCCAGTTGTCATACAGAAATATCCGATGCTTTTTATAATGAAATATGAGGACGCCTTTATAAGCCGTTCGGCGGATACCCTCCTTTTCATCCGGCATCAGCCCGAAGCGTCCGGCAAAACGATGATACCTGAGCGACGATTAGAACAACTCTCGGTGAATACTGGACTTTCGATGAGTTGCTTACATGCTATCTCTGTATTCAATACGGAAGCATTTCCCTTCATTCGAGGACAGCTCACCATCGAGAGTCAACAGAGTCACTTGCACGCATGTGGTCATCTAAAATTCATGTACCGAGCAGTGTTTGAGTATATGTTCACTCTCCGCAGTGTTCACTACAGGAGTTTCCTCATCCATTATACAAATTCACATACAAAGTCGGGTAGAAGTGTACGGAAACGAATGAGAATTTTCCCCACTGGAGAATCCCCAGAACTTCCTCAAAATTTCCATAATGCCATCAACATGTAGTAGACCATTTACATATCCCCCCACACTGAAGTTTAGCCAATCCCTAAGCCTGACCCAAAGAGTTCTCACTTGATTAATAACCCATTGATCGAAGAGTTCCTCATTCCGGACGTGGTGGAGCAGGCGAGGAGCATTCGCTACGAAATCGATGCGCTCAGTGTTGAGTTTTATTCGTGAGAGATGTGCTGCGAAGTATTGCCCTTGCGACTGTCCTTCCTCACCAAACGTGTATGATCTAAAATCGGTAATGGTATGGTATAACATAGTTTATTCGAAGCTCCATCACTGAGGCATGACATGCCTCGCGACAAAAATCTGACTGGCTGGTTCAAGAATAAGCTACGGAAAATTCATCACACAGAAGAATACACTTAAA